CACACTAATATACTTTTAGGAGACTTCATCAGAAGGTACTTATTGTGTCAACAATACCAATTATTCTAAAAACAATGAACTAAATTTGCTAAAAAAGAGAAAGGTTTTGTTATTAACTATTTTAATGTACTATTTTAATATATATACTAACATTATATTTTAATGATTTATATTTGTCTAGAATATAGAAGAAATACACAATGAACATTGTTACAGCAACTCTGACTGTTACACGTCATCAGTCATACCTGAAAATGCTTTTTCAGATGAAAATGTTCAACCACTATCGTTAAAAAGGACAAAGTAGCTTATACCCGAAGTAGAGCCTACAGTAGCACTATTTACAGATATTTTAAAAAATATCCAATTAGTAAGTTTACCATTAAAATGGTATGCAGGTATGATTACCTCCCTGGCAATACAAATCAAATGATCATTGGATTTCATTAATTAAGTTCATTTGGAGATGGATTTCTATGAAGTATAAAAAAACAAATTATTATGACAAAAGGTATTTACAAATATATTGATTAGGCCTAGGCGGAGTGAAGTGTAGCCTAAAATCTTCCAGTTCTATGCAATTTCAAATTTGTAATACTACAACTCCTTCAAAACTACTATTTTATTATGTTAACTTATTCAAACATTATCTTAATGGAATGAACAAATCGAAAATAAAGAATAAAATACAAAAGCGTAATATTTTATCAATATTGAAAACTTAAAAAAAAAAGTCAATTTTACAAATTAGCTACCTATCACTTCGCTTAAATTTTTTCCACAGTTACACACATATGTGATGTGTGTATATTTTATGGATACAATTTATTAAATTATATTCATCAAGTGCTTCTTTGTTAAGGGGGCTGGTCGCGATTTTTCAAATTTTCCGCAATTCTATAAAATTTGAAAATTAAATTTTATATTTTAGTTGCCACCTCAATTATAAGACTTTTCCACTAATCTGCTACCCAATACCTATTTAGGGGGGTCGATAGGGAAGTATTATATAGGTCAAAACACAGTTTACAGGAAAAACTCTCACCCCTCGTGGATTGGTCCGATTTTCGTAATTTATTTTTTTGTTAGATAGAGGAATATTTTTTACAGGGCGCATTGGACTTCGATTTTTGATTACGTCGCTAAAAACAAAAAATAATACAAAAACTAAAAAGTTGTAAAAATTGATTAAATTCAAACTTGTAACATAAGATTTCGAAAATCCAAGTCCAATGCGCCCTGCAATACGTCTTCCTCTATTTAACAAAAAAAAAATTACGGAAATCGGACCAATCTACAAGGCGTGAGAGTTTTTCCTGTAAGGCATGTTTTTGAGCAAAAAAACAGGTCGCGACCAGGCCCTTAAGAAATCTCATTGTGGTTTCACAACACATCATTTTTTAAATATTATTTTTCTGGATTTTTAATTTTTATTAATTATTTATATATTCATTATAATAGTATAATATTTACAACATCTGTCAGTTTCTTTTATAGGAAAATTTGTGTTTAGTACACACATACCTACAAAAAACAAAAATGACTGTAATTAGCTAAAATCAAAAGAAAGTTATGGATTAAAAAAAATTCTCTATGCACAACAAAATAAAATAAAAAAAAGTTAATATTTGGTTATCATATTATTGAAAATTTATTGACTTAATTTATAATAAGTTAATTTTAACCTTACTCTTTCTGTATTTATTCATATTTTCTAAGTATTATACTTAGATTATTCATGTATATTTTATGGATACAATTTATTAAATTATATTCATCAAGTGCTTCTTTGTTAAGGGGCCTGGTCGCGATTTTTCAAATTATCCGCAATTCTATAAAATTTGAAAATTAAATTTTATATTTTAGTTGCCACCTCAATTATAAGACTTTTCCACTAATCTACTACCCAATACCTATTTAGGGGGGTCGATAGGGTGTATTATATAGGTCAAAACACAGTTTACAGGAAAAACTCTCACCCCTCGTGGATTGGTCCGATTTTCGTAATTTTTTTTTGTTAGATAGAGGAATATTTTTTACAGGGCGCATTGGACTTGGATTTTGATTTTGATTTCGACTTTGATTACGTCGCTAAAAACAAAAAATAATACAAAAACTAAAAAGTTGTAAAAATTGATTAAATTCAAACTTGGAACATAAGACTTAGAAAAATAATTTTGAAAATCCAAGTCCAATGCGCCCTGTAAGAAGTCTTCCTCTATCTAACAAAAAAAAATTACGGAAATCGGACCAATCTACGAGGCGTGAGAGTTTTTCCTGTAAGGCATGTTTTTGAGCAAAAAAACAGGTCGCGTGCAGGCCCCTTAATAAATAAATTAATTTAATAGATTCAACTATATTTATGCAAGTGTATGGGAATGAAGTAGCCATGGAGGATATTGGTTTGCCTTCTAACAAATCTAAAAGTATATAAGAATTAGAAAATATTATAAAGTATATTGACGAGGTAAAAGTATGTGAAGTATCAGTGTCGATAAAACAATATAAAAACATACAATCAAAATTTGGATCACAATTTATTCAATCTTATGATCGATGGCGCCATACTAACTGTTCAACCAACAGTCAAAAGTAAATTACAGCCAAGTAGTAGAGTTCATTTTTCTCCAAATAAAAGAAAACTCTTGGAAAGGATCAGAAAAACCAAAAAGATAGTTAGCCAAAAGTTCTTTAAAGCGAATTCAAAAATATCTGCTTTAAAACAAAATTTAAATGATGTAAAAAGGAAATTGGAGGAGATAACAGACACTAATCTGACTTCAATATTGAAAATATACAAACATTCCTCAAAGTCAAACTGATTTAGTTTTTGAAATAATTAAAGCATCTAAAGTTAAAAACTTAAAAAACCGTAGATACAGTGATAACTGGATGCTACTTTGTCTTTTATTTCAAATAAGGTACCTATTAGTGTACATTAAGCTTTTATATACAATATTTAAAAACTAGTGAACACTGTAGTTTTTATTATTATTTTTAGATCTCCAAGTGGGTATAAGTTTCTACTTGGAGAAAATATTCTCCCTCTTCCATGTACAAAAACAATTAGAAAATATTTACTGGCTGTTAAAATAGGATGTGGATTTGATGCCAATTTTTTTAAACTTTTAAAAAAAAAATTTTCAACTAAAACCAATTTTAAAGTAAATGTGTACTTTTGTTAGATGAAATGTTTCTAAGAGAGAGCATTAGTGTTAATAGCCGGACACTTATATATGCAGGACTCAAGGATATGGGAGATGAAATCCAGTCTGGACAAAACAACAATAAGAACGCTAATCAAGGATTAGTATTAATGTGGCAAAGTCTGTGTGAAAATATGACACAGCCAATTGCCGTTTTTGCCTCACATGGTCCAGTGAAAGGTAATGAATAAGTTGTATTAATAAACCTATACTGTTTATGATTGTTATAATATATTTTTTAACTGCAACAGAACAAATTTTTTTTTAAGGAATTGATATCGCAAAATTAGTTGTAAATTCAATTTTACTTATTGAGCAGGCTGGAGGAGAAGTTTTAGGTATGACATGTGATGGCACATCTACAAATAAAACAATGAGAAATATATTAGGGGTATAAAAATACATGTAATAATGTATTATGTACTCATATATATTACCACAATTTAGTAACATTCTACAATATTTTTTATAAACTTATGGATATCAGCAAAAAAAGGAAAATTTTAAAAATTACTTTCAAAACCCATTTGATAGTTCCAGGAATATGTATGTGTTTTCAGATGCGCCTCACCTTTTAAAAAACGTACGAAATCGTTTGCATGCCAATAAAGAGTAAGTGGTATGTACAATTTGATTTAATTAGGAATGTATATTTAGAAATGAAAACTATGAAATAAGTATCTAACATTTAATGATTCGTTAATGTCTTATAAGAAAATTGTTATTATTAATTTAGATTGAACCCTCTAAAAAACCTATAAAATGGGAATATTATTCGAATATTTTCAAAATTGAAAGTAATAGCTTAACCAAAGTATGTCCAAAGTTAACAAAACCCCATTTTGAATTAAGTAACCTTTCTAAAATGAAGGTGAAATATGCGGCACAAGTATGTAAATTATATATAGTACATTGTTATTTATAAATGCATAATATTTATAAATATAAATATTTAATAATTAACAAAAATTAAATTATATTTAATATTTATCAATAGGATCAAGAGTTTAGGTTTTTAGTAGATCTACAGCTGTAGGAATAGAATTTTATAAGAAAAAAAAATACGAGTGTTTTAAGGACAGCGAAGAAACAGTGAAATTCACATATATGATGAATAATATATTTGATGCCTTAAACAGGAAACACCCAGCCGAAGGAGTTAGAAAGAATGATAATAATTTAGAGGTTTTTTTATATGTTGTGTACTTGTGTGTACATGTTGAATGTTTACTTGTCCCTTATAAATGTATTAACAATAACAGTATATTTGTGTTTTTGCTAACTTTATTCAATAGTCAATGTAGTAAGTACCTAATACCTTAAATACCTATCCATAACAATGTATCTATTTTTGCCTGCAATAATCATTAAATGTTTATATATTATATACCTACTTAGATAATGTAATAATTATATATTGTAATACAATAAATTATCATATAACTGATATTAGATTTTAAAGAAAGCAATAGGTAGTCTGGCTAGAAGAATGGGAATCAAATGTAACCAATGGTTTAATCAAGGAAAATCAATTTTTGACTCGGCAAACATATGATGGGCTTATAATTACTATAAAATCTACAATAAATTTAGTCGAATTTCTGTGTAATTGATGGTACATTTTATAATTATTTTAATATTTTTACCTAAATTAAGTAGTTTTATTGTGGTTTTAACTGCAAAACGACAAAAAAACAATAAATTATGTTCTTTGGCAAATAGAACTGTCTATTCTTCACAAATAAAACTGTCGTAAAAAGCATGTATGTCTGATGGCATAAACGCTTTTAACGATTATAAATCAGTCCATTTATCTTTTGTTATTTTAGGTCTTGATTGGTATAGATTTGGAAAAGAATTGTAATGGGTGACATTTGTAGGTCTTGTGGGAAGTAGTTGAAGATCGTCTTCAAAATTGATTTTATAGTATATCAGACCAGTTGTTTCATATTGAATCCAACGAAGTTCATTTACTGTGGGGTCACCTGGGCGATGGCCCGGTCTTATTGACTTGTACACCATCATTTTTTCATCAGAAAAATCTTTGAAAAATGTGTGGTCCAGGAATCTTGAACGATAAGGCGTTGGAAATTTCCTTGCAGCTATGGTGTGAATTGAATACTGGCTTGGAAGATAAACATCTATATTTTTATAATTGCGTTCAATCGTACTGTGAGCACTATCACATTCCATCTGAGTGTGCCCCTTTTCCAGATACTTTTGGATTGTACAGTTATATAATTGTAATAAATTATATTATATAGTTACTTTTCTGACCACACTCAGATGGAGCAATGCGTTTGAAAGTATCGAATTCTGATTCTGATAGCCACAGCCATCAGAGTACACAATTATAGTTTTCAATGACTGATTGAGCAATTCGCTTAGATAGTCAACAAGACAAGATGCAAAAATGGAAGCAGACATTGAACAATCAGATTCGTCAAACCAGTATGCCATGGCGTCATGTGTAGCCAAGTTGCAAACAGTGAAGTTGTGAGCTGTTAATTTTAATTTGTAATAAGCAGAAGAGGCTCTAATATTTGGAATACATTCTACTGCCATCAGATCAGAACAGACAGTATCACAGATTTCTTCTTTCGCAGCATCTTTATCTTTTTGCTTTTCATTCCTATTCCTTGCTGAGCCTTTTAAGGTGTTTTTCATATGGCTCGTTTGTTATGTGGTGCTTTTCAAAACTTGTACAAGTATCACAGCGATCTTTTTTAGGAATATAAATGTCGATATTACGCCCCTTTTTCCTCTATCAAACGTATGCCTGGATACAGGTGCTTTAGAATTTTCTTTACATTTTTCTGTGTACAAGTTGTACAGTTGTGTCCAAGACTTGACATCTGTTTGAAGAAAAAGCTTTTTGGACGTCTTCCTACAATAATGCGACGGAAGAGTAGGCAATGAGTCAAAGAGACAACACAACACTACCTATCTCAACTTAGTATTTAGAACCCTTAGTAAACATTATTGTGTGAAGCAATTCACATAAAATATGAAATTAATTATAAGTTCGTTCAACAATTAACGAATAAAACTAAAAATGTTACGATGAAACTCATAATTATATTAAAACTTACCTGATTTCAATATGCACACATGTTACACAATACAATTTGTGCGGAGATAGGTGGTGTTGTCTTAAGATTTTAGATATGCTGTGTTATCATTTTATTGATTAATGCATTATCTATTGACTTTATTCTAAATCTGATATCACCAATCGATTCCGCGCGAAATTTCCAATAAAACATTGTAGAAAACTCAATTTGACCAAAATGTGAGCTAGGTCGATTCTTAAGCGACGAAATTATCATATTACTGATATTAGAAAGCAATAGTCTAGCTAGAAGAATGGGAATCAAATGTAACCAATGGTTTATCAAGGAAAATCAATTTTTGACTCGGCAAACATATTATGATGGGCTTATAATTACTATAAAATCTACAATAAATTTAGTCGAGACTTTTAAATGATCACGGATTTTCTTATGTGTTAACAGCCAAATTTCACCAAGACAGTTTAGAGGTTGGTGGATAGTTTTTTGTGGATTCACGACAATTGAGCGCTCGACAATTGGGCGAAGACTATTGAGCGCTACGAAAATTAAGCGCTGAGACAATTGAGCGCAATATAAATCTTAGGTTAGGTAATAATTTAAAAAAATAAAAACAAAAAATTGTATAGTTAATAATACATTATCAGTCATATCAGTCAATATCAAAAAGTGTATAGTAATAATTTAAAAAAAAATAAAAAATAAGTCATAGTATATTGGTTAATAATACATATTACAAGTATACAAATTCATATACAAATTAAAACATTAAATATATTGAGCAATGTCATTTAAAAACTGCTCAGTTGACCTTAAATTAAACTGTTCACAAATACTTTTTATTCTTAATCCTGAATCTTTGTATTTATTTTTTTTTTGTTTTGTATCATTACCTGCAATAAACTGGTGAATTCTCACGCGATTCAACTTTTCCTCTTTTTTTTAAAGCGTCGATAAATTTCCAAATTGATGGATGAACTGCATTTAAAACTGATTTAAATGAATTATGGCATTGTTGGTCCTTGGTATGTCATCTTTAATCAAACCATAACAGTTCCATAATTTTATTGGAAACTTTGGGGATCTTCGTTGCCTGTTACGACTAATACGACCTATCCATGTGTCTTCAAAATAGTCTAAGAGAGGTGTCAATATTGTTTCATGTTCTTTATAAAAATCAGTTTGTAATAGGTCTTCGAATGCAGTAATAACAAACTCTGGTGGAACATATGCTAATGCATTTAACATTTTAATATTTAATGCAAACTCGGAATTTTCATGGTATTTTACAGCAAGTCCCGTGTTTTGAATATGTCTCCATATAGATTGACAAAAGTGGAAAAACATCCATTTATTTCTGTTTGAGGAAATACCTTTTTCACTGCATTTATTGTAGCTTGTTCGTAATCTAGCATTATAGAAGTTGGATTTATTTCTGGTCTTAACTCTAAGATTTTTTTAAATAAACGAATGTATATTTCTTCAGTTTTATTTGGAAGGAGTGCAAAAATGGATTGCAAAACATTACTATATTGTACACCGTGAATTGTATATAGCTGGTAGAAAATACTAGGTGACGATGAAAAAGTACCATCAAAAAACAAATGTTCACAATCAACCATCATATCAAGATTTTCCGTAGTTGAAAAAATTAATATACGTAGAATTTTTTGATTTTGTGAGTAGCTATCATACAATAAAAATGGTTTACCATCTAATGTTGTTGTAAACTCGGGTGGAATGATCAACTCCTTCAATGAAGCTGGAATTGCTGGATCCATTAATTCTTTTTGGCGAATTCGTTGAACCGTTTTTTTCATCGAATCAACTGCTGGTAATTGACAAGCAACTGCTTCAGTAACCTACAATAATAATAATGATTTAAAAAATAAAATATTTTAATTTTTTTTTATTTCTAAAACGAAAGTAAAAATTATAACAAGTCGATACAAATCGACTAACGATTTAATTTAGTTGAAAGTTATTTTTGCATATAAATAAAAAATAATTTTAAAACAGGGGGACGAGGTGGCCGAGCGGTCTAACGCGTCGTCTGCGGCGCTGGCAGTCGCGGGTTCGACTCCCGGCCACTGGGCGGCATTTTTCTCCGGGCAAGTCACGGTGTCCGGAAAACAAGTGCCGCCATCCCCCACTCCGGGGCATGGCAGAAACCTACGGGTGCCCCATTCAAAATTCTGCCAAAATACACCCACGTGTAATACCCCCTACCGTTAAATAACCTACAGTACCAACCCCTCTCCCAATGGCCTAAGTTGCCGCGGGATAAAATTAATAAAAAAAAAAAAAAAAAAATTTTAAAACATATTTACAAAACAAAAAAAAATAATAATAATGATAAAATATAAATATATAATATATATATTATGTAGATACGTATAAACTATAATGTAACATGTTACTACCATATACATATTATATATATAATATTATACAGTAATATAATTAATGATCTCATAAATATTAATATTATATTTATATTATATTTACCTGTAAAGATACTGCACCTAAAACTGCTTGAGTACTAAGTTCAGTATGTTTTGCAGTTGTTTTTAAAAACTGCATTGCTTTTCTGGCTTCAATTTTTGCAATATCAGGTGTATGATTGTGCTCTTTTTCACTTTCATGAATAATTTGACCATCCTTCAAATTAATACGACCACGACATTTTTTCGTATTGCATTCGATACATCGCCAACTACTGTTTTTGTCAAATCTATATAAATATCCGTTATAGCATAGAAGGTCTCGACCTTTTTCACATTTAATGATTTCCATTTTATTATTAAAATTATGATTTAAAAAAATTAAAATGTAAAGTACAATAAATTGAGTAGTGTTCAATGCACAACGTGTGAAAATATAGTAAAGAACCTACGTCTACTGCTGCGTTATCGTCGTTGGAATTTTATTCTATTTCGATACGATAACGAACGATGCGGCAAATAAGTAATAACATTATCTGATTAATGGTTATCATCAAACATAAAGATTATCTGACGGGTTATATAGGTATTCACAGACACTGCGAACGAATTCAATTTTGATTTCGTCATTTCGTATACAGCAGTTTTGCACTTAATACAGTGAACTTTTATGAACTTTTACTCAGTTCAGTATAATATTATAAAGCGCTCATATGTCTCAGCGCTTAATTGTCGCAGCGCCCAATTTTCGCCGCGCTCAATTGTCGGGACACCGTTTTTTGTATATACTTGCTTAAATTTTAAGTACTTAATTTTTGGCATACCTACCTATTTTTTATTAATTTTAGAAGTTTTTCGGGATCTTGACAGGTTTCTGGACCCAACGACCATCCAACAGCACCCACATTCCTCCAACTTTATCGCAAGCTGTCAGTGTACTCTTTGGTGAAACCTCCAAAATCAGGAAACTGTACTGTAGAAGAAGGTTGAGAATCAATTCTAATTTGAATACTACCTATACAAAAAATAAATTTATTTATTACAATTTTCAGAAACATTCCTATAATTTCAATTACTGATATAAAAAGTATTATAAATGAACCAGAAAATTTATCTGAAAGAGTTACTAAAGTGAATATATTAAAAAATAAAATTGACAAAATTATTCAAGATGACTGTTGGGATTTGGATGATATCTTGTTAGAACACAATTATACAGATTCGACGGTGTTTGAATGTGTTGTATATTTTTTGGCAGGGTAAAATAAATAATGTACTTTTTCTTTCACACTTGGTAATATTTTATATAATCACTCATTTTAATTTTAGATATATAGCTAGGCATTTAGTAAAGAATACTAAATGTGATAAATGCATTTTAAGTCTGAAGAATTTAAATACCTCTAGAGCTGGCATAGGAAAAGAAGCTGATTTAATTAACGCTAAAACAAGATTCTATCTAACATATCCCAGTAGTAATTTATATATTATAGTCAAACGTCTTGAAGAGTGCTTTGCCATACATGCAAACTCAAGTGATGTGTTTGAAAACACATATAAAGAATTTTTCAAACGGAATATGACTGAAGTTTTCAGGTACCATCAAGGAACATCAAATAAAAATGCTGACAGTTTATTTATTTCACCTACTTTAGAAGTTAGTTTTCACAAGATAATCATCTCCTATAAACTACACACAACATTTTGATAAATGGACCGGTATTATTATATACTTCGTTTCTTTTTTGTTCAAAAGCAGACCATAAACCATTTGTTTTGCCCATATTAACGCTAGCTCCATCGGTTACAATTGAAGAAACTAAATGTAAAACTTCTTTCCAATCGACAAATCGTTTAACAACATTTTTTATGGCTTCATAATACCCAATAGCAACTTTCTGAGTAGGTTCTTCAAAGCCCATAAGCATTATTTCAGAATCACCGTTCTCCAACACAATTTTGAACAAAACATGAACATTGTCTATTTGGTTTCTATCTACAGAACCATCAATTCGAAGAGAGATTGCAATACACGATTTGAGTTTGGACTTGAGATTATAAATGTTGTGGATAATAAATATATTTAAAATAATTATTAATATACTTCAACAATTAACAAACAATATATAAAAAAAATGTACTTACATTTTTC